GTACACACACATATACAGGACGTACACACACATATACAGGAAGTACACACAGATATACAGGAAGTACACACAGATATACAGGAGGTACACATACAGGAAGTACACACAGATATACAGGAAGTACACACACATATACAGGACGTACACACACATATACAGGAAGTACACACACATATACAGGAAGTACACACATATACAGGACGTACACACACATATACAGGAAGTACACACACATATACAGGAAGTACACACATATACAGGACGTACACACACATATACAGGAAGTACACACACATATACAGGAAGTACACACATATACAGGATGTACACACCAGTCATGAGAATCTGCCATAGGTCATCTGTGAAGCTTGTTTTTATAACCTTCTCAGCTCCAAGCTCACAGACTTGAAGGTGACCTTGGAGAACCAGCTGTGCCAAATCAGCTCCTCATCCAGCGCTCCCTGCTAACTCAAACATATGGTTCATGGGCGGTTAATGTTCTCAGACATAGTAGTTAAAAACATCCATAAACTCTGACCAAAACTTCCCAAACACATTGAAGTAAATAAGTTGTAAAGTGTGAGACTGCTGAGTTGACTCCATGTTTTCTGGTCTCATAACGAGCAGTTGTCTCTAAATGTTTGAAACCTCTGCCCTCGTTTCTCCGCCCAGCCTGTCTGCAAGAAGACTGGACCGCAAAGAAGAAGGGAGACCCGGCAGCGATCGCAGAGAACACAAAGAAGAAGAAGAAGAAGAAAAAGAAGAAGGGGGAGGAAGGAGAGGAGGGGGGCGGCAGCTCGGACAACGAGAAGGTGACCAAGAAGAAGAAGAAGAAGGAGAAGAAGAAGAAAAAGGGGAGGTCTCCGGTGGAGAAGATGGACGGAGGCGTGACGTCGGACGAGGAGATCCAGCAACAGGAGCCTCTTTCTGGGCAGAAAATGGAGCTGTGAGTCCTGGTCCTGGTCCCGGTCTGGACCTGCTCACTAAATAACTCGTTAGTTTTTTACGTCTGCGTCGATGATCAGAAATCAGCCGAAACGTTTCAGATGTTTTCAGGACCTCACGTTTAACGACTCTGTACAAAATGGCTTCATACTAACTCTGCTTCGTTTCAGTTTAATTTCTTGGATTTTTTCTTTAAGGTTTTGCTTTTATTCTGTGATAACATCCATCATTTAATTCCACTTCATTATTAGACAGACATCCCTCAATTTCAGGACATTTTTAGAATATGAATGTAATATTTTTTTAAACTAGACTAAAGACATCAGATCAAGCTTTGAGTGATTCCATCTAGACCTGTCGCAATAAACAATAAATCAATTAATCGCATGATAAATGAAAATTATCGACCACATTTTCATTTATCAGCTTTATTGTTTCTTCATGTCTCTCTCTTTCTACTGAAGACACTGGACGACAAAAGGCTCGACTCCGGTGCTCCTTGCTGACCCCTCCCTTTCTCTTTTCTTTTTAAAATCGCGTTTTTGGATCGTTAAAAGCAGCTAAGCTGAGAAGCTAAGCTAACAGGCTGACTTCGGGGAAAAACCTCCCGTCTTGTCAAAACTCAAAAATTCACGGTTGAAACCCGTGCCTTTGTGTTAAAAGTTGTTTTTCTCTGCAAAAAGAAGCGGAGAACTTGTTTACTGATTTTTAATTTTTTTTTTATTAAAAGCTTTTGTGTGAAAAATGCTATGCTAAAGATCTTAAACCATATCAAGCGTCCACCATTTTGAGAAACAAATAAAGGAAGAAGAGATGGCCCATGTCACGTCAAGGGGCCTCCTTCCCATTTTTCTTAAAAAAGAGACGCTGCTCGCTCCCTCACTATCCATCTTTCTGTTCAGAGTGTCTTATACTTCCATCTGGTGGTCAAAAAATGTACTAAAAATAAAATGAACCAACATTTCTTAAATTTGACAATAATTACTAATTATTGTCAAATTTCAAACAATATTATCGTTTATCGCAATAATTTCTGAGACAATTATTCGCCCAGAAAAATCTGTTATCGTGACAGGCCTAATTCCATCAATATTTTTACCCCAACATTATAATTTAGGAACTAAGCTGCCGTTAGCGGTAAATAAAAAAGGGATTAAGTGGATTTTATGCTTCTGACTGTTTGTGCTGCATACTAATCTACGGAGTGAACACCTCTGCAGGTGCAACGGTTCTTATGATTATCAAGGAGATTCATTTGTTTGTGTTTATTTTAAGGGAGGCTTTCATTCTGAATCTTATCAGAATGTGTCTTTTAAAAAGCTGCTTGTGGAGTGAAATCTGAGGCTTGACGTGGATCAGTTTTAGGTCCGACCTTATCATACAGTGACGCGTTACTTTTTATTTTATTTGAATCATTGTTTAAATACCTGTTAGCTGTTCCAATGATGTTAACTGATGCTCTCCTTTAACGAGGCCTAAAACGTGAAATAATTTGTGTTTCTGTTTAATGCGGCCCTCATTTGTTTATGTATGTGTGTGTGTGCGTGTGCGTGCTTCAACCTCCTCGGCTACAGATGAGCGTCCGACTGTTTGATTTTAGCATTTTTTTGGTGTGTACTTTTACACAAGTTTTAATTTGAATTAAAATGATGACTTTGCTGTATTAGATTTGGAACTTTTTGGACATTGTGTGAAGAGACATGAGTGTTTTAATAAAGTCGATCAGAAAACATCAATTGTCTTTAGTTCTATTTATTAATTTAGTGATTTCGTCAGTTTACAGAACTCAATTTGTTTCACTCCAACATTTTATTTTTTTAATAGTGTGATGTGTACTTTTAATCACTACATGGGGACAGATGTTCTGTTTCAGTAAAATATTCAGTTCGAACTAAAATATATGGCAACATTTTAATATTTTCAACCATTGCAGTGCTGTGCAAAAGTTTTCAGCCATCACTGTTTTTATTATTTGCTTCCACAGGGCCAACCTTTATCTGTTAAAATAGGCTTAACATTAGCTCTTTGGGCTTTCTGAAGGTTTTTCAACACCTTTTTTGGACATTAAACTGTAGTGAACTAAGCCTCAGGTCAAATCCTGACCTTGAGGGCCTTCCTGGGACAAGAACTGTATTTCATTGATTTGAGTCCAGAAACACAAAATCAAGTCCATCCAGAGACTTTCTAAGTGTCCTGCACTGATCAATTGAAAGAACACTCTCTTTTTCTATTATTACTATCTTACAAATTTCTTGATAATCAAAGTGCGTTTAGTTCAAACCATTTTTAAATGTTGAAGTGAACTACTCATTTTAAATCAACTGTGAAACAGTTAATGATTTTTAATCCTCATTCAAAGTAGAAATCAAGTTAAGGTCTGTTACAGAGTAATTATGCATTTTCTGATTTTCTGTCTGAAATGAGCAGTGTAAGTTGGTCCAAGGTTGGAGGCAAGAAGACAAGTTGTTGGAACGAACTGTCATGTTTTTAAATCCTCTCAGACGTAAATAGAGAAGCTGGCACCTGTTTTCCCCCAACTCGCCTAAACATTTCTCTTGTCTGTCTCAAAAACAACATCTGTCCGTTCCAAAACAATTTTTCTGTTTTTCTGACTTCTAGTGACCTCTTACGTCACAAAAACACACCCCTGATTAGCTATTTCAGCCAATCAGGACTTCCCAAATGAACCGGAAATAGAACTCTTTAAATGTCGGCACTTCCTAGTTCCAGCCAGTCGTGTGCGGTGGGAGAGCAGTTCAGTTCGGAGAGCAAAACCGAACAGAAGAAGTGCTGGAGAGTACAGGAGGTTCACACATGATCCGCAGTTCTTCCGAGTCTTGTGGGAATTATGAAATCTTCCACATCTGAGTGGAGCCTCTGACGGACTCACAACTCATGTGAGCCCACCAGTGGGGTGAATGTGTGTCGGACGGAATACCGTCACTACTTCGGACGATTCACAGCTGTTCCTACGGAGACGCTGAAAGGGTGCGTTAAATGGAACTCCGTACCAGTGGAGACACCTTCTACAGGTAAAGAGTCGATTTATACTACCTAAGTGTACCGAGGAGGAAGCTGAGATTTTAACGGAGCGTGCCGTTCTGATACCGATACATATTCACTCATTCATCTTTTCCTCTCCATTTAAACTTCATTCCCATCTTTAAACTCTTCTATCTTGCCAGTAATCATTCCAGATATTTTCAGAAATGTCTGTTGTGAAGCAGGAAAATCATGGCCGTATGGTTTTCCTGACTGTAAAGCTAGTTAATTATGTTGCTGTTGTAATCAATTTTGCCAAATTAATGTAAATGTGTGATGTTAAACTTTGATTCTGTTAATAAATGACCGCATTCATTTGATGGGTCAAAGAAAATTAACGTCTCACGTCACATTTAATTTCAATGCACGATATTATTCAGTCCAGAAAAATAAATGAATCCGTTTAATTTATGGATAATATATCACAGATATATGTTCATCTACAAAATGATTTATCATTTAATTTTAGTTCAGTGTTTTGAAGCAAATTTCCTATGTTTGATTTGTTCAGACGTTAAAACGAAAAAACTTAAGATGAGACGTTGACACAACAGACAACTTTGTAAAGAACCAGTTTTAGAATGAATCTGTCACAAAAATATTCTTATTTTTTAGTTTAGTCTTTTTGAATAATATCAAAGAAATCAGTTTGACAGGAAAATAGTAATTTAGCTCCAGTTTGGTTAATTTTAAGAGCTGAAAATGCTGAACACAGTAAAGATGCATCTCATGTCCCTGGAAGTTCTATCATTTTGGACTTTTGGATAAATGTTATCTGATGTAGATGAGTTTTGTGGCCTGACATTTCATTTTTTGCCCTCCTATCGCCCACGTTCTTCATTTTTAAGCTTAAATTTCAACACAGGCTATTATAGTTGGCACATGCCAATGCGGTCTGGACTAGTAAAAAACTGCCAAAGTAAAAAGAAAAAACGTTGAAAGTCTTTCATAAAGCGCGAAAGGTCTTGATGAAGACCGCTTGAAAATATTACAGGAAATAATAAAGCTACTTGGAAGGAAATTATTGCATTGCTTTTGCATTTTTTTGTTGGTAAAGATGGCAGCCATTTTGTTAGAAAGCACATGGAATAAAAAGGTGCCGATTGACTAGAAATTTAATAAAATTATAAAACTTCAACAAATGCCAAATTTAAAAATCAAAAATTTAAAAGACCATATTTATTGGATATCAATTTTAAATAAAAGGAGAGCATATTTAATTATGCGTTTCTCTACATTTCCACTTCCTGTTTGTTTTTTAACTGTTGTTAGCAAATATGGCGCCGGCTACCCTGTTGCTAACTTCCGGTTAGCTAATTAGCCGCTCTTTGAACGATTTGTGGATTTGTTTGGAGTTTTAGATGAAACTTCACCACACAGCTTAAGGTTTTCCTGATATGTTGATAATTTTAAATAAAAGGAATGCATGTTTTTTTAATTCTGCTTTTCTCTAAATTTCCACTTCCCGTTTGTTTTTTTTAATTGGTTGTTAGCAAATATGGCTGCCAGCTAACCTGTTGCTAACTTCCGTTTAGCCTAATTAGCCGCTCTTTGAACGAGTTGTTTGGTGTTTTAGCTGAAATTTCACCGCACAGGTCAAGATTTTTTTTAATACGTTTTCCTCAAATGTGTTGGAAAACATTACAGCTGGATGTTAATTAATCTGGGACATTAGCATCGGATTAACACATTAAAACTCCAAACTTCTTGGTCGTTTGTGGGTCATCTTCAAAGGTAAGCTGATATTTTATTAAACTTGATTTTAAACTTAAATAATTAGTAGGTTTGTTCTGCAAGTTGCTAAATGGTATTTATTAGCTTCTTGTTTCAGTTGGCTTTGCTTTGTTGAATGTGATTTTTGTTATTTTAAGGCTTGTTTTGAATGAACTTGATGAATTTCAGTATATTAAAAACAGGATGAATTGGAAATAATGATATATATATATATATATATATATATATATATATATATATATAAAATGAGTTGTGTTAAGTTGTTTTCATTGCTGCCTGGATAAAATGTGTGAAATGGATTCCCTTTTCATAGTGAATATATATTGTACTTGATGTTTTACTATTGGTTTTTATAACTATTTGTTTTTGTCAGACTGTGAGGTAATAAAAGCCAAAAGGTGCAATTTAAAGTCAGTTCTTATTGTGAGTTGTGTGGACACACCTGGCTCATCCCTTTAGTTTTGCTCTATCCATAGATGTTTGCTTTTGAAAACAATCTTCAAAAAAAAAAAAAAAAAAAAGGTAAACTAGATCTTCACCTGAGTTGGCAACAAAATAATCACAGTCGCTTTT